TCACTGTATGCATGCGGCAGCGCGGAGCGCGATCATCTCTTCCTCAGTTACAGAATAAACATGAATGGACACCCGAAGGTAAGTTGAAAGATACAGTATACTTACTGAAAGGCATCATAACTTGTGTAAACACCCAATCAGTGTTTCAACAGCGGAAATACGTCAATAAAACGCTTAGTTTTTCACATAGCTTTATATTTACCTCAGGCAAGTCATTCAGTGTCCACAGCTTGCTGGTTTGCTAACTCTCACTAAATAAATGCTATATATTAGCCTATATATTATATTTTACTTAACCTGTTTATGATATCTTGATTATTTAATGTATGTTTAAAATAGTTGTCATGAAAATAACAGCTTCTGTGTAAATTATTATATAACAAATTAGAGTAAAAAGTAAAACATGTTAATGCAAAAATTGCCTTATCTGTTGTTAAGCTTTAATGTTATAGTAATGTGCAAGTAAGGGCTGTAGTTTACAGCATTAGCAGATAATTTTGTTATCCTTGAGAAACGTTTACTTGTAATTGAATTAATTTAAAGACAAGGACACAATTTGTTAATTAAAGCACTGTTTAATAAAAAATAAAAGCAATTTTAGCTTTCTAAACCCCCCTACCCCACCCCCACCGAAATGAACCGAACCGAACCGAGACCTCAAAACCGTGGGACGAACCGAACCGTCAGGTTTGTGTATCGTTACACCCCTACAGTGAATCAAACCTGACTAAACGGTCAACTTCACATTCTTTCTCTTAGTAGGATGAAAATAATCTCTTCTTTATACTGATTAAATAATAGAAAATGACCATAGAACGCTCCCTTTACAATCGACGGAGCTGTCAATCAAACAGTGCAAGTTTATCAGTGACTGAGTTTTGGACTCTCGCCAAAACTCCTTTTATAACAAAGTCCCTTTTATCTATAGTATTTGGTTATAATCAACGAATCTCTTATTTACATTGTGTTTGCACTGTTAGTTATGAAAGCATTTGTTAGTGTGCAGAAATCGAGTTGCAAAGACGAGATCACTGTATTCATGCACTCAACATGTCTGTGATCAGCTACAATGCTCATCACTGCAACCTTTCATGACACTATCTAAATATAATGCTATAGATCTTAATATAATGCTATAATAACCAATTTTCACGATTAGTAAACCTTGAGAGCTGTTATAGTAAAAACTTGCTAAAAGTTTTCGAGAGTTCCACATGTAAAACTAGCTATTTCATATGCAAAGATGTTAGCCAATCTCAGCAGTGGGCGTAACTTACACTGATCACGTGCACTTATATCATTATAAATGCACGTTAGGAAACAATGTAAAACAATGAAACAATGCAGTACAGTACATGACCCCTTTAAAATCTACAACTACTACTTTGGATGCATCAAGTTCATAAATCAGTGAACAAACCTAAATGAGTCATTTTGTCAAACAGAATAAAAAGTTTGGTAATCGAGCATGATTACTTAGTCATGTCACTTAAGACTCCCACCCGGCCTCCCTTAGAAAAGAGCGGGCAAGCTTGTACGTTTGAGGACAGAGACATATGTGCAAGGGCAACTGTAGAACATCCATCTATTCTCATCCCAGTGTATTAGGAGAAACGATATATATATTTACACACAAGATATATCTGTGCGAGAACCCTTTTCAGGTTGTGTATGTAAATCAAGGTGAATTCTTTCTGTCCCATGCTAATGTAGAAACTAGCTCGGCCATAGCATTTGTAATGGGGGATGACAGGTTATTTGTACTGGTGTATCAGCCAGTGATTATTACTTATCTATGCGGTAAAAGAGAGTCAACATACCATCATCGTGTTTGTGCGTATGCGGCTCTTTCCAGTATGCTCATTTACCTTCTCCTTTAACATATTCTGCGAATATTGATGAATATGCACCGGATATAAATTACAAATAGATAGGCAAATATCTTTTAAATGAGAGACAATCGCTTTGCTTCAGCAGATCCATCCTTTATTTTTTGGTTTTCTAATGTCAGAAAGCAAAAATAGATTTTCATACATAATTCATTATTAACACACTCTAATATTTTGTATTTATGTATGTGCATTTATCACTGCAGTGTTGGATTTCTGTGATGAGTCATACTCAAGTATTTATTACTGCATATGGTAGGGATTTTAGGAACACGTTTGAATGCTCTAATATCCATGTTACGGTACCTGCGACATGAGAGGTACTCTCATACACAATTGTACTGAGATTGTGACGGTTGACCTTCATGTGACAAGGTGACCTTCGGCTCACCACTTTCAGCTCAAAAGCAGCAGTGTTTTTCTAATTGCTAATTATTTTTGCAGACGCATTACTAAATTGGTTTCAGTGGTGCACAAATTACCACCTATGCCAAAAAAAAACGCAGGTTCCAGACATATCATCTCTCAGTTCGCTAGCGTTTGTAGAATAGTGTTTTTCCTTTTTTCTTTTTTGGCATAACTGCTAAGCGTCATCTTTCTTGTCCCTCCCTTACCCTTCTATGAGTTTGTCATGAGGGGTTTACAGAACCTGACTGAGTTTGTTTTTGCTCCTCAGCAAGATTTCTTCTAAACTGAGCCAAGATATGCCATATCTGGGACTTAAATGAAGTCGAAATTCACACTCTATCTTCACTGTGTAAGTCACATGCCAGCCTGTTATAAAACACCATCTGGAATAAACATGAATGTTTGTTTTTTGTTTTTTTACAAATGTCCAGTTGTAAACAATGTATAGTACATTACATTTTTGAGTTAGCTATTTGTTTAAGGGTGGTATTGGTATAGGATTAAATGCTTTAATAAAGTAAAATAATCAGCCAAATAAAACACTTTGTTTTGTGTGCAGAGTGGGCTATACGTTGTGATGACAGGAACTTTCTAAAACTGAGAATGATTTTCATGAAACACATTTTTCTGACAGAACTCCTGAGGAGGCAGAACAGTAAAATATGAGTATATCTCTAGCTAGCATATCTCAGCACCAACTGGTCACGTACAAGCTCCCATGATGCTTTTTTCCCCTCATTGTTTCCATAGTCAGTGCTGCAGCAAAGCTTTGATGATGGTGGTTTTTGTGCAGTTTTTCTGTTAGAATAGATACTTTTTCCTGACTAAACATTCTTCTGCTTTTACTTTACCAGCATTCAAAATGTTTTTTTCTTCTTTGTGTATATAACAAAGATGATATATATATATATGTATATATATATATATATATATATATATATACATATTGGATTTATGATTAATAAAATTAAAGCTCCCCTGTGGTGAAAATCACCTTTTTAATGTTGTTTATATGTCTATGTGGTGTTTTTAATATGCTTTCAGACCATGTGCAAATTCATAAGTCAACACCATTGCTGAGTATTTTCTCCTTAAAACTGCAATGAAAAAAAACAGTCTCAAACCCGCCGTTTGAAATCGCTGGTGTCTGTGACGTCACAAACTACCTTGTAACCAATCATGTCAACATGCCGGCGGGCTTTAGCATATCATTAACAGTGAACTAGCAGGGGAGTCTCAAGAGGAGCCAGGTTATCCCGGTATATTTTTCTGTTGATATGAAACATCTGGTAGATTTATGTTCTGAGTTGTTCAAAGCGTTTCTAAGGATGCTGATTTTTAGAAGGCAGCTGTCTGACTCTGAGATGGCAAACAGGAACATGGTTTGTGTAACATTAGCAACACATTATTAGCTGTTTGATAACATAATCAAGCAAAAGGCTAATCATATTAATTACCGTTATGTGTCCGACGTTGTCAAGAGCGACGCCATTGTGCAGCGTTTACCTCAGTAAATTGACAGAGAGAATCTCTGAGCTGGTGTGAGTGAATGGAGGCGGGGCAAATTTGAATATTCATGAGTCCGCGCATACTAAATGAGGCAAGGGTGTAGATACATTCAAGCTATTCACAGGAATCTTTTTTAAAATATGTTATTTTGGTGATTGGAGTTTTAGGGATAAGATTATTGACTACAGTGGGACTTTGTTTTCACATGGATTAGTTCAATTACACAAGTGTGTGTGTGTGGGTTTTTTTTTTTTGTCTATTGGTTACAAACACCTAGTTTATCCGAAATTAGAACTGTGAATTTGATCCTGCAAGCTAAAATGTATAATAATTTATATTATAATACATTTTATGATAATGTAATTTCTTATAATAATATTTTTATATCATCATATATTGTTGTTTAAACAAGTCAACACAATAAAATCACTCAGGCAAACACACATCATGAATTATTATTATTTTTTTCATAATTGCTTTACCGAAAATGTTCAACTCGAGGACCGAATCATTACGATTTCGAAAACAAATCATTTAGCCCTAGACTGTGTCTGAAATCTCATACTCTCTTGAGTAGGTACTTATTTTGAATAAGTAATTACCACATGACTGCTAAAAAATATGTTCTATAATATGAATGTGTAGTGTGACTGTAATCTGGACGTACTACATTCGCCATGTTGTCCTTATCATGTGACCTACCAGTGTTAGTTCCGTTGCTTCACTGCCATTCATAAATCCTCTCCCACGGCCTCATGGGATAGTAAAGTGCCGTATACACAATTCAGAGTACTGTGAAATTGAACATACTACTTTTGTCACATATTGTTTTTCGCCCTGCTATATGTGATTTCGGATGCAGCCTTTCTGAACATCATGGTGAGTGAATAATGTCAGAATATAAAATGTTTGTTTTTAGGTTAACTATTCCTTTAAGGTAATATGGCTATACAGAAAGTGACTTAAAAAAATATTCACTTGAGTAGAATTCCGTGACAACTAGCCCCGGCGTTCTGTAACTTCTCTGCAGTTCTTTCTTGATTTTATCTTTTTACAAACTCACTATGCCTTTTTTCTTTCACATACATCCTCCGTTTCTCTCTCTCTCTCTCTCTCTCTCTCTCATCTCAGCGCGCTCTCTCATTGTTAAATCTCAGCAATACTGTGAGAGTGGCAGATCAGTGAACACGGTGCGCAGAGAATTTATAGAAAACGTCACAACCGAGGCACGAGAGAGAGAGAGAGTAGTGAGAGGGGAGGGAGAGTGTGAGAGGAGGACAGAGAACGAGGGAGGGTATATTGATACAAAACGACGGTGGTTTCTCTTCAGTGTGTGTGAGAGAGACCATGAGTGGAGACAAGATGGAGTGCTGGAACAGATGAAGACTGTCATTGGGTGAGTGTGTATGTTGTGTGAATATGTGTCTGAATGCCTTTGTTTTTGTCCACTTGATAATGCAGGTTTGTGTATCAGCTTGACCACCTGTTAGTGTGTGTGTGTGTCTGTGTCCACATTCACATGCACATCCACACATCTGCGTGTCTCCTAGTGATTGTATGTTGCCTGCAGGTGTATTTTTATATATGAGTGTACATTGGAACACATTTCTGTGTGTATGTGTGTGTTTATAAGTCATTGTGCACTAGTAGCTGTGTTTATCTGCACTTCTGCTTAACTCTGCGTATGATGTGTGTCTGTTGGTTCTCGCCAACATGTGTATGTTATGCAGCCTGACAGCCTTTGTGTGCACGTGACAGTGTTTTTTGTATCTTACTAGCCTCAAAATAACTATCTTGCTACACATGATGTGTAGCAAGATAGACATCTGTATGTGCAAAGCACAAATATTATTGTTGATTTATGTTTTTTGTGCAACACTTCAATTTTAGTCAAATAATTGAAGAGGCGAAGTAAAACTGTGTAGTACATTGTGTGTTTGATATTTTAGACTTACAATAACATTCATTAGTGTGGCATTGCCAGCAATCACACAAAACAGAAAGGGAAGAAAACTTTGTTTTGCCTCATAACAGTGCCATTTGATCTCGCTTATTCTATTTTTGGCTTGTTAGACGGTCTAGTTCATGAGACAAGAATTTTACGAACTACAGGGAAAGATGTGAAAAACAGAGATTGAAAGAGAATGTGTGAGACAGAGATAGATCGCACAGAAGAGGACTCGTATGAAACCGACTCTATATCTCTGTCCTTAGGGAAGTAGTGTAATCAAAACAGCCGCATTACTGGTAATGAAAGATATTATCAGCACAAAGTCTGTCACACGTCTTTATCTGTCTGGATCAGGGGCCGTGGGGCATTCTTCTGTTTCATTTGTCACACCAAATATTTCATTTTCAGTTTTGCCTAGGACAAAAATTGGCACCACAAAATTGGTTGGAATTGTGTAAGATGATAAAACATATTTTGAATTAAAGACATAGTTCACCAAAAAAAATATTTACTTATCCTCATGTCTTTCCAAACCTATACTTTTTGTTTTGAGAACATATTTAGAAACGATATTTAGCAGACTGTCCAAGCTGCTTTTTTCCCCACAAAGATATTCTAGGGAAATTACCATTTTTTTTGTAGTTGTTGTTGTTGTTTTTTTGTTGTTGTTTATTTGAAATGAAATTAATAGGGTAATTTACTATTTTTGGCAATTAACTAAGGGTAATTAACTATTTTGCTTTATTTTATTTTAAAAAGTTTAATTTTACATTTATTTTAAAGGAAGAGGGAAATGACAATTTTTTTTTTTTCAATTTTTAATTTAAGTTCATTTATTTAATTTATTTTTTATTCTTCTTTTTAGGTTTAATTTTTTAACCCATTATTCCTTATGCTTTATGCATAAAGCTCACTTAATTAGATTGAAATTATTCTGAAAACAAGAAAAACTATTTGCTTATGGGTTTAGAAAAGTAAACATTAAAAAATACTTAAACTTAAAAATTACACACTTATTTCAAGAAAATGTACCTTTAAACAAATCCACTATCTTACACAATTTTGCTTCTCTTAAGGATCTGGTTTTAAGGATGTTTATATTTTATAAGACATCTAGACAAAAAAAAGAAAAGATTTCTTTTGTGCTGTTTTTGGAATGGGAAGAATGTACAGGATGGTCAAATGGGTCCGTGTTATATTCTTTTTATTCCTATATATATTTATATATTATTAATATATAATATTTTTTTGTATAAAACCGTTTTAGTATGGTTGTTAATTAAAAAAGTTATGTTGGTTTAAAATCTCTCTCTCTCTCTCTCTCTCTCTCTCTCTCTCTCTCTCTCTCTCTCTCTCTCTCTCTCTCTCTCTCTCTCTCTCTCTCTCTCTCTCTCTCTCTCTCTCTCTCTCTCTCTCTCTCACAATCTCAATCTCACAATCTCCACAGTTCTTTCCAGTGGTCCCGATGAGCGTCTCCAAACCACCTCCACCCCAATCCCATTTCCCCCCCAGCAACCCTTCCTCCCATCTCTCCCTGCCTCCATCCTCCTCTTCCTCCCTCTCTCCCTCCTCCCCTCCCTCCGCTGCGGGTCCCCCCAGCCCCGCTGTGCCTCCCCCTCCCTCCCCGGTGAAGATCTCCATGCAGGAGCACTTTGCCATCAATGTGTGCCCCGGCCCCATCCTCCCCATCCCACAGATCTCAGACTTCTTCCCTCGTTTCCACGACTTCCCCATCACCCCCCTTCCTCCCCGGGAGAAGCAGATTTTAAAGGACAAAGACAAGGACGGAGACGGGGACGGAGAGAAAGACCACAAGAGGGAGAGAGAGAAAGAGGAGAATGGAGAGTTCGTCGACTCGGATGACGATGACAGTGAGTTTGCCTCGTGGCTAGTGACTGTTTCACGTTTGTATCCCTTTGCACGTGTATTTTACGCTCCGCTCTTCTTCTAAGTAATCGTTTTGCAGATGCATTTTTCACAAAGCTACTGACATCCCTCTGGAACGACCTGAGGGTTAAGTGCTTCTCTCAAGGACACAATGGTAATAGTACCTGGAGGAGTCCTTGTGGGCTTCGAACCTACAACCTGTGTCATTAGTAGCCCAAATCTTGAACCACTAGACCACATCAGCCCAATCACTTTCTTTCATTGCATGCTTCTCTATTACATAACTCCCCGCATAGATAAATCCATTGACATTTCATGTTCTGGATTCCCTTTGTTTGACTGACTGATTTTATTCACCAGTAAGCAGCCAATGAGGCATGAGCTCTTCCCATCTGCCTGGACCTGCATCTCACACTGTTCAGTATTGATTGCTTTGTGTGGCGTTGGCCGGATTGGTGTGAGTGTGTGAGATAACTGAGGTACGCGATCGGAGTGTTAAATAGTTCATTAGTCTCTGTAATGGTGCATAAACATTACAAGCCCTCTGTATGTGCACAGCCCTGATTAGGTCGTTACAGGCAAGACTGATTCCCTGCTTAGTCGTTTGGGTTGTTATAGGCCTCTATTTTTGCTAATATAATGCGTGCAAGATATTAAGTTATTCTTTTGGTTTTTTTCAGCCTACCTGGGAACTCTGGAGTTCAACCTGCTATTTGACCAAGACAATAACTGCTTGCACTGCACCATCCACAAGGCCAAGGTAGGTTTACACACACACAAACACTATTGGGTGTTTGTTCAACTATAGGCATTGTTGGGCTTGTGCACTTTTAAAAATAAACTCTCTTAAAGCACATCCACACTCTCACTCTTTCTCTTAATTTTGTTATATTCTTCCGAATCTAATGAACATTTTCACCACATCTCCAATTATGTATTGTGTTTAATAATATTTGATGGTGGAAATGACATTTGAAATCCTGTCTTGCTATGGAAAATGTTATAGCCAGCAAGCATTATACAGTATGTTTTTGTACGCTTTGCACCATATGGCAAATTTAATAGCTTGTTTGGAAATTATACACAATAAAAAGATTCTGATCACAAATTATATTTTTATATTTCAACTTAATTTTTCTTCACAACGCAAACAGGTGCTTTTGAAAAACCTCAAGAGAAATAAGACGAAAAGTGTTTGTTGTGGTTAAAATGAATTGGAAACTGATGGGCAGTCATAATTTAATTTCACAGATTATTTTAAAAAATTTAGATTATAATGCAGTTGTTGTAGAATGTAATAATGTATATTTTAGTCTTGGTCTGGGAAAAGAGTAGAATAAAAAAAAAAGTTTAAATCAACAACTGGAACATAAAATTGCCTGTAGATGAAGAAAACCTTTTGCACAAATTGACATTTTGTGGCTTTTAGTCTTTGCTAGGGTACTTCTTACAATTGAAATATTAACAAATTGCACAAATCTTTTTTAATACGCTAATATTATATATATATATATATATATATTTACTCATTATGCAACCATTTGCAAAATATTGTCCAATAAAATGCTGTCTTTAATGAGTATGTCCATACCATTACTTACTAGAACTGTGAATTTACTAAACACAAAATGTACTTGCATGCATATAGTGTGCCAAATGAAAATAAAATATTTTATTTCATGGTTTATCTTCAGTAAGCAAAAGATAAACAAAAAAAAACTTAAGTTAAACAGTCTTGACTCTAATGTCACACGTGTCAGTGCATTCGAGGATTCCCCTCTGGTCCAGACAGAGACACAAGTGTGCATATTACTGGAAGGATATGATCTATCAACCTCTTACCCCGTCAGGAGTCAGGACATGTGTGCACAGCTTATGTGACATGAAGTCTATGTGCTTTTGTGTGTTTGTTTGTGCCCACAGGGACTGAAGGCCATGGACTCCAATGGACTGGCTGATCCATATGTGAAACTCCACCTACTGCCTGGAGCAAGCAAGGTCATTGCAACCTACTCACATGCACACAGCATGGTTAAACTCTCGCAGCACCATCAGCGCAAGTTGTGATTCCCTGACACTCACGTACACACAGTTCAACACTTTCATTGCACAAAACACACAAGCATTATGTGCGGATACATCGCCGGCAGGGCCGCCTGTGAGCACTGAAGCTGTTCATTTGAAGAACGTGTGGTGGAAACTGGTGGATTCAGTATGTGCTTCAGCACTGAATTATTCTCGCTTTCATTTCCTCTGCATGTAACAAAGGCATGGCGCTCTAATCTGTTCAAAGGAGGACAGGCTGAGACAGGAGCAGCCAGAAGCGTCCTGCCTTCTCTCCAGCGGTTTTTACTCTTCTCCATCCTCCCGCGCTCTCGTCCAAATCTCTGCCACTATCTCTCTGTCTATCGCCATATGACCCACTTTGACCTTGGAATACCAACACAGTGTTGAGTGCAGGATGGGAGGGAGGGATGGAAAAGAGAGAGAGACAGATGAGGGGGGACAGCAGCAGGTGGTTGTCATGGAAACAGCACAGATTGTTACACGACTCACGTCAACAGAAAAGCGTATATATACAAGAGGGAAAGAGAAAGCGAGAAGCGTCACGTCTTGCGTATGCTTCCATGCGCCAACCTGGTAAATATCGACCGCGAGGATTATACAGACACCTCTGGGCTTTTAAAAGGTGTGCGAGCCGGAGGTGATGGACGAGTATGCGTACGTCCACCCCTCAGACGTACAGACACGCATGCAAGTACGTGGGTGTGCAGGCATTTAAAGAGCTCTCCTTTTGCCCTTTTACACGCTTCATGGTTTCATATGCATCCACATGCGATCTATTAAAGGAATACTGAACAATTTGTCCTTTACTCACCCTCATGTCTTGCCGTATGACTTTCCTTCTACTTTGGAAGATGAAAAGATCTCTTTTGTCCGTGCGATGAAAGTGAATGGTGACCATGACTGCTTGGCACGATTTTCAGTAGTCACTTAAATTTCAATCTGTTCCTCACATCAATGAGTTGTATGGCTTCAGAAGACTTGGAATATAGTGCAAAAGTACACTGCCCGTCCAAAAAAAGACGCTGTTTTTATTTAAGTAGACAAATGCTTAAGAGTCTATGACTAGATCATTATTGCTGTGATTATTATGTTTCTAGTAGCATGTTATTTGTTTTGGCAAAAGTTCTTCTAACCCTAATTGACGGAGTGTGTAGCTTTTCATTTCTTAAACAACCATGTAGGAAGACACATCATTGGCCATATTCCAGGATCACAATGTCAAGATGCATCAGCTCAAATCCAGACCTTAAATTCATTGAAAGTCTTTGGGATGTGCTGGAGGAGACTTTACAGAGTGCTCGACTCTTGCATTGTCAATACAAGATCTTGACCAAAAATGTATGCAACTCTTGATAGAATTTTTGTGATATTATTTCCTAGCCTGGACCCAACGTCAGACCCAAGTCTCATTGAAACTTGGGTCTGGGAACCACATGTTCATTTTCTCGTATTTGAGGCGTGGTTTACGAATGCCCAGAGCCGTTTATTGGGTGCTAAGAATGTCTATCAAACGCGCCTGTACGTTGCTCATAGCCAATCGTTTCAATTATACCAGATGACGTATGCAGAGCGACAGAAATTAGACGAGGAAGAAGACGATGGGTCAGAGATTTGTGTGTACACGATGGCGTGCCGTGTACGGCCGTTTCACACCGCATGCGTGAGCGGCGCGTATCTTTTTCGGCGTGCATGTTAATCAATGAGTGCTTCACACCGGGAGCAGTGCGTGAGCGTCGAGCAGGAGCGGCGCGTGAGCAGCGGTGAAGCGGGGGTTTCGGCGTCGAATCTGTTTTTGCTGCACTGCTCACGCTCAATTAAAGTGAAAGCACACTTTTGATGGACAAAAATAAACATGATTTCACATAAAAAGTGCCCAAAATGCACAGAATAAGCATGTCTAGTGAGTTTTAACAAGAACTTGAGTAGGCAAAGAAAATAAAATCTCAAAAATATTTATATAAGATTTAGGCTACCCGGTAAAAACTTGTTTTTAATTATTCAGTTTGGGTGAAAGTTGTGTATTATATATATACACTCACCGGCCACTTTATTAGGTACACCTGTCCAACTGCTCGTTAACACTTAATTTCTAAGCAGCCAATCACATGGCGGCAACTCAGTGCATTTAGGCATGTAGACATGGTCAAGACAATCTCCTGCAGTTCAAACCGAGCATCAGTATGGGGAAGAAAGTTGATTTGAGTGACTTTGAACATGGCATGATTGTTAGTGCCAGAAGGGCTGGTCTGAGTATTTCAGAAAATGCTAATCTGCTGGGATTTTCACGCACAAGCATCTCTAGGGTTTACAGAGAATGGTCCGAAAAAGAAAAAACATCCAGTGAGCGGCAGTTCTGTGGGCGGAAATGCCTTGTTGATGCCAGAGGTCAGAGGAGAATGGCCAGACTGGTTCGAGCTGATAGAAGGGCAACAGTGACTGAAATAACCACTCGTTACAACCGAGGTATGCAGCAAAGCATTTGTGAAGCCACAACACGCACAACCTTGAGGCGGATGGGCTACAACAGCAGAAGACTCCACCGGGTACCACTCATCTCCACTACAAATAGGAAAAAGAGGCTACAATTTGCAAGAGCTCACCAAAATTGAACAGTTGAAGACTGGAAAAATGTTGCCTGGTCTGATGAGTCTCGATTTCTGTTGAGACATTCAGATGTTAGAGTCAGAATTTGGCGTAAACAGAATGAGAACATGGATCCATCATGCCTTGTTACCACTGTGCAGGCTGGTGGTGGTGGTGTAATGGTGTGGGGGATGTTTTCCTGGCACACTTTAGGCCCCTTAGTGCCAATTGGGCATCGTTTAAATGCCACGGCCTACCTGAGCATTGTTTCTGACCATGTCCATCCCTTTATGGCCACCATGTACCCATCCTCTGATGGCTACTTCCACCATGTCACAAAGCTCTAATCATTTCAAATTGGTTTCTTGAACATGACAATGAGTTCACTGTACTAAAATGGCCTCCACAGTCACCAGATCTCAACCCAATAGAGCATCTTTGGGATGTGGTGGAACGGGAGATTCGCATCATGGATGTGCAGCCGACAAATCTGCGGCAACTGTGTGATGCCATCATGTCAATATGGACCAAACTCCCTGAGGAATGCTTCCAGCACCTTGTTGAATCTATGCCACGAAGAATTGAGGCAGTTCTGAAGGCAAAAGGGGGTCCAACCCGTTACTAGCATGGGGTACCTAATAAAGTGGCCGGTGAGTGTGTATATATATATATATATATATATATATATATAAAACTAAAGTAAACTAGCCAGAAAATATTATATATAAACGTTCTTTTAGTTTATGTAACACACAGACAGCTACATAGCACAACCCAAATCAAACCCGAGTGTGTGGTTTATTTGTGTGTTTTGTTTTTTATCCGCGGAGTTGCAGTCTTGTAAACATATCGAAAGTATAACTGAAACTAATAGATTGGAGCCATTTTCTGGGTTGTTTTGTTGTTTAACATTTAACTTATATGCGAATGTTGTACACCTCCCCATTACAAACTTTCAAGACTATCAATGTTATAAAATGACCAACTTCTAAAAACAAATGTATAGTTGTCTTTGTAAAGAATTGCTCGCTTATATTATGTAGCTTTGGAGCCGCTGCTGTGACATTGTACAAACGCTTCCAGTGTGAATACTCTCGCGCGTCTGCAGCTGCAGTGACGATGTAGTTACGCTGACGCGCTGCTCAAGTGCCGCTCACGCTTGCGGTGTGAAACCTATGTGTGAAACGGCCGTAAGGCTGCATTGAAAGGTAACTTCGCGTCTGCTACCATCTTGGATCCATAGGTATAAACAAACTGCTTCGGTGTGTCGCATAGACGTCGTCATCATCTTGCTGCTCCCTCCCCGTTCTGTGATTGGTTCCCTTAATGAGGCGAAAATTTGGTCCATGGTATCCAGACTACCTAGCAGCGTGAATAAAATCGCGCTGCGGCAAGGTAGTATGGGGAAACCCAGGCTAATTATTTCCATTCTTTCACACTTTGAGCCTGATGAATCTTGACATTGTAGGACATCGTGTTATTAGGATGTGAAGAGACTTTCAACCAGCATAACAAACAATGTTTCTAGAACAAATCGCCTACCCTGCCTTTAATGTTTAACATTATACTAGTTGTCAAGATAAATTAATTATCATAACGAAATTTAACACCGTACGAAGGAAAAAAATATGTTCTCTTTTGAAACCACATGTCCAAGAATGTGAATGACAAGGCCGGCAGCACATAAATAAATACCATAATGTAAAATTAATAATTTTATGCACATTTAAATGTGATCCATTTCCATTTACTTTTCCAACGAACACAAAATTGCCACATATTTTCGAGTTCAAATGCAGTGTTCGCATTTATTTGCGCATTAAATTACATATCAATGTGTGTCTTATATTGTGATATATTGTGCCTTTACTGCATATTTTTGTCAATACATTTTGGAGACATGTTCTTAAATATGACACATATATAACAAACACATACATACATGCAAAGTCTTTAATCATCTCCTTATATTTAATCCTATTGTATTAACCCAACTGTTCCACTATCTCGTATCTACTGAAGGTTCCCTCGGTACCCGTGCCTTTTCCATGCTCCTTTGACTTACGCCAGGTACTAAAGTGAATTTAGTGTGTGCGCCTGAAAAGAAAAGACATGGTTCTACGTCTAAATAAACTAAATTCTTGTTGAGGAAAAGGAGACAGAAACATAAATTGTGAATGTGGAGGCCAAGCTTAGGTCAGTGGGGTCCAAACTAAAACTGAAAATAAAAAAATTTAAAGAAAAATCAATATATTAAAAAAAATACTACAATAGCTAGTCTCCATCCACTTTCATTGTATGGAAAACAGCATCCTGAACATTCATCAAAACGTCTCCTTTTATGTTTA